GAGGGAGCAAAGCTAAGTTAAGAATTTTAATTATACTCGGAATTGATTCCAGAATAAGACTAAAGTGATAAATGACTACTTATCCATAAAATATAGTTGATGTACATGTGATGAGTAATTACTCATTTTGCATAGTACAATACCCCACATATCTAAAGAGAATAATTCTCTGTAAAATCTTATATGACGAGGCTATTGATAGAGGAGATGTGAGGTTTGACCGTGGACCAGATCCAGCAAAAGAAACTAAGTAACTTTGACCAAAAAAGTGCACGTGGAATAGACATATACACGTGTGCTTTGGTGTCTGCCGATATAGTGGAGGGCCAAGAAGGACCCACGTGGGTTACACCAAGCATGAGGTGTGAAGGTGAGAGAAATTCTAACATCCTCATAAAGTATTTTATTTTGAGATATCATTATTTTTTAGGTTAATCTGTCTAAAGTTAAGGGCAAATGTCTAAAATTAATGAAAAAGATCTTCTTGAAATACCAATTTTTCGAGGATAACAAATTAACAATTACTCTTCCTTGATGTAAAGCCTCAACATTCTTTTTAAGATGCCAACAGCGGTATATAACTTAATTCTTATTTCTTCTCCTTGCCGGGAAAATCAGGCAAAGTGTGCGAAATGGTAATTTCATTTCAAGAATTATTTTATTATGTCAAAAATAATTTTTATATTTGGTTATATATATAAAAGTAATTTTCTTTTATATCTCATTTTATATATTTAGGAATCAAAACTTTTTACTTTTTGTTTAATTTTGAATAGTCATGTTAACTTTAAGACAAATAACAATCATGTGGATACTTAAAAAAATATAACAATATTGTGAAATTAATACTATTATTATCTTAAATATCACAAAGAAACTATTATAAAAAGGCATGAAGTACATTATTTGAACAAATGATACACTTTTCAAATGTTTTGATAAATAAAATAAGATAAAAATGTTTGTTATTTTAAATGACATAAAGTTATGTTATTTTAAGAGAGAGATAGACACAAAATATTTTTTTATTTAAAATTTAAATTAAAAAAACCACCACTTTCTCTCTCATGATTTCTATTTTTGTGTCTATCTCTTTTTTAAAATAATATAATTTATGTCATTTAAAATGACAAACACCAAAACCATAAACAATGTTTACTTTTCTTATTGATACCATTTTTTTGTCATCACGTCATTAAAAAAGTTTGGATATTATATATTATAGAAAATTTAAATTTTTTTATATGGGATATTTGTGGCATTTACATCAACTTCGATTAATTGGTTATATATAGTAAACAATAGAATGACTTGGATGTTTAAAAAAATTATAATTTCATTATTGTAATCCAATCTATATTATTTTGATTATATTTTTATTATGCGAAATCATCATTTTACGTAGAAAATAAATTCTCTTATATTAAAATTTAGCTTGATAAATTTTACATTTATCTCTTTCTTTGTAGATATCAAACAGATGGAGTTTATCCAAATTTGTGAGTATCTATTCAAAAATTTATATAAACAAAATTTTCAAAGACTAAGGTTATATTAAAATTTAGCATGGAAGATTTATTCCCTTTCATGTATATTAAAAGTGACATTAAAAATTTAAAAGATTATGAACTAAAAATAGGAGATTTGGTAAATTGAGGTTTTAATAAAAACTTGGTTCTTGTTAGTTTAAATATTTACACATAGTTTATATGATTTAAGAAAGAGTTTGGTGTTTGTTATTTTAAATGATATAAGTTATGTCATCTTAGGAAAGAGATAGACACATAAAAACAGAAATCATGGAAGAGAGAAAGTGGATAATTTTTTTTAATTTGGTTTTGGAAGATATGGCACTCAAAGTTGTAGAGCTGGTCGTCTTTCATATCGAGCCATTGCCAAATTTTCTGTGTTTGTGTCTGTATCTCTCTTAAAATAACATAACTTTCTATCATTTAAAATGACAAACAATTTTTCCTTTTAAGAAATGTCAAAGATCACATAAATTAACCTCAAATTTAAATTATAGCAAGAAGTCTTCTTCTTTTTTTCAGTTCTCCACAAAAACTCACCATGGCACGGGAGACTGACAATTACCAAGTTTGCATAATTTATTAGCAAAAGGTTGAAAAAATAATAGCTTTATGATTCGTGTAGTTCATTGCTTACTGTAATTAATTTTCTTTTATCCAAACAGTGATGTCATGAGTGACATCGATCGACATATAATTGGGTTTTTCTTTGGGGGGGGGGGGTGTTGGGTGTAATTATTCACTGTCCGAACTTTTGAAGAGGGATCGGCTTTGACAACGAATATAACTATTAAATAAAACGGAAAAAATATTTTGGAAGTTATTGTAGATAAGTTATCTGTATTTACTTTCAATATAACATCATTTTGGAATTAAAAGATTAAAAATTAATTATAAAGACTATAATAATCCTGAAATAAATTAAAATTACAAAAATACCATAATTTTCACTCTAAAACAACGTCTTATTAGACTTACTGCAGTAATTGCCGAAAAAGCGAACCCAATAATTAAATAACGGTTCCTCTCACATCTATGAAAACTGAAAAGCTTGGTAAGTTGTATTAGTGATAACTAGTGTATGATTGTGCCTTTGCACGATAAGATAGTAAATAAAAAATATAAAATAAAATTAAGAGTAAACACTCTTTTTAGTCTCTGACAATATCTACGAAGTTCTTTTTAGTCCCTTGCAATAAAAAAGGACCAAATTGGTCCCTGAAATTACAAAAAAAAGGGTCATGTTAGTCCTTCTGTGAAGTCCACCATCACAGTCAAACTAACGGTGCCCGTGTGGCATGTTAGTGTGATGACGGGGCTTGCACGTTGGACAGCATGGAAGAAGAGACGACGTTGTTTAGGTATCTTTTAATTTTTTATATTTTTTCTTTCTTTCTTCTTCTTCTTCTTTCTTTCTTCTTAACAGACTCACTCAAACTTCAACCATTTCCTAATTTCTGATCTCACCTGAAATAGTTCAGCAATGCTCCTCTGCCTACTTCCAAGGCCACCTAATGCCGGCAAACCGATCAACCCATCATTGCCGCTCCACTCCACACTCTTCCTCTGCTTAACAACATTAACAATCTCATCATTACCATCAAACCCAGAAGGCTGCACTGAGAACATAGACATGTCTCCATCTCCACCATCATCACACCCTCTACCACTCACCTTCCTCATCCTATCACAATCCCACCAACCTTCGAACCACCTCTCAACTGTTGTTGCGTGACACACCAGTCCTCCTTAGACAACATTGGAGGAGGCAACCGCGAGTTTAGATTTACATTGGAATAATAATAATTTGCGTAAACAGGATCAGCCCGAAGCTCTTCCTCACTCCCAAAACCCCTCCCGCAACCAAAACCGGCAACCGGAGCGCCGCCATCGAACAAAGTTCCAACCGCCGCCAATGACCCTTCAACGGTGGGAGGCGCCGACCCATTTCGCAACCTCGCGAGTTCTCTCTCCCTCTCACTCGCCTCTTGCTGCCGCCTCAGAACCCCCAAATCCTCGTTGTAATCAGGCTTCTTCAACATCGATCGAATCGCCACATCTGACATCATCTTCGGGTAACTATCGCTTACCATTAGATACAGCAAAACAAAAACAAAAAACTTCACTCATCCCAGTGACCCAAAAAACAAACCACGAACAAAAAAATGATATACACGCGACACTTCAACAAAGACAGAAACTTTGAGCACAAACAGCTTTGAATCAAGAGCTACAAAAAAAGTAAAGTTCAATTTTTTATTTTTATTTTTTTGGTTATGGCTAATCAATTACACGAGCTCAGCTCAGAATCAAACGTTAAAGTTGGAAAAAGCTGTGTTTTATTGGTGGGTATGGTGATTGCTTTGATGGGTCAGAATTGAAATGAAGATCGGGGTTGGGTTCAGAGTGAAGAAGCAGAAGAAGAACGTGGAGGATCGACGATGTGTTGGTCCATATTAGGAGAGAATCAGAAACCGAAATAGATACTCTGATGGAGTAGGCAGACTGCGAGTGTGAAGATTGTGAGGAGTGATAAGTACCAACGCCCCACCCATATGGACCGTTGGATGTCACACTGACGGAAGAAGAAGAAGAAGAAGAAAGAAAGAAAGAAAAATTTAGAAGATACCTAAACGACGTCGTCTCTTCTTCCATGCTGTCTAACGTGCAAGCCCCATCATCACACTAACGTGCCACATGGGCACCGTAAGTTTGACCGTGACGGTAGAGTTTACAGAAGGACTAACGTGGCCCTTTTTTTGTAATTTCAAGGAACAATTTGGTCTTTTTTTATTGCAAGGGACTAAAAAGGACTTCGTAGATATTGTCAAGGACTAAAAAGAGTGTTTACTCTAAAATTAAAAAAAATAAAATTATATGTATGTTATGTATTATAGTAAAATAATAAATTCTATAAGTTAATGTAAAATAGTTCAACAAATAAGATAAATTAACTTATTTCAATATTTGGAAAATTTCTTTGAATATAATGTTTGGTGTAGTATTGACAACTGTGTCATGATAGTTAAGTATGAAAAGCATGAATCTCATCTTACTTTTGACCCTAGAGAAAGCAACATACAATCGGCCATGAGTAAAAATTGGTCTTGGAAGATAAATTCTTACATGAGATAAAGTCTGACCTTGACTCTTGTTTATTGTCATGGCAAAGCAAACAACCAACAGAAAGTGTAATTAGAAAGGCTTTAATTAGAAAGACTTAAATTCATCCTTGGAATTAACATCATCTCACCTATGTTATTGTCCGAAAGAATTTTTCCTTCAACAACATGTTCACCAAGTTTTGTAATAAACAATTTTATCCCATTGACAACCCTTTTGATTGATCTATATTTCTCATAAACATGATATACACTTCTTTTTTGAATGTCAATTTATGGATAGGAAGCCTAGTTCTAGAAAAAAATCTATTTCTGGAGGAAATGCTTCTTCTTTAAGATTGTTATTCCCTTATGCTTTACAGTTGTTATCTGAAATAAGATATACCTTCTCTTTACTTGGAACGATTGACATGAAGTACTCGTTTAACATGCAAACATCCGCTAATTTTGGTGCTATAACATGTTCTTGGAAGAAAGACGAATTATCCATATTTTTCAAAAGATTTGGATATGTAAATTCTACTAAATCTGAAAGCGAAACATTGGAATCCTTCATCAAGATTTCGTCTAGGATTTTTATAACAAGGAATACAACAACATTATCACCAACATTGCCGTCACCAACATCAAGAAGCCATTTAAAGAACATTTTAATCTTTATGACATCATTATTAGAACCTTGTGAATGGAGTCGTATGTTTTTGGTCAGGATCAACATTTGACTGTTATAGATTTGAAGAATTGATTGTTGCATGTTTATTTTCTTGCCTTCTACCATGAGAAATAACAGGCAAGATCTGTCTAAAATCACCTCCAAGAACAACGACCTCCCCCCCAAATGGTTGTTCAGAACTTTTTGGATTTGAAAAACAATTGATGTCTCTCAATGTTCTATCCTATGTTTCGAAGCATAATCAATGAACCATTGATGTTTCATCCCAAATGATTTATTTAGCTCTTGATAGCAACTCAGCTTGAGCCAAATTTTGCTTTATGTTGCAAGTGGAATCTTCATTTACATCAATTGGTATGCAAAACCGGGAGTGAGCAGTTCTCCCCCTGGTAACAATTTTGAAGTAATTCCACTTGAAGCAACATTAAGAACAATCTCTCTTATTGATCTGAAAGCAGCAAACAATATTTTCCATATGAAAGTCTTTCTCGTGCCTCCAAAACCATACAGAAAAAATAATCAATCTTTATTTGCATATGTTGCTTCCATGATTCTGTGGTACACATTTTGTTGTTCTTCTATTAGGTATACAAGTAAACATTTATGCTCTTTTGCCAACAAACTTCTATCATAAGACAACTCATCAAGTATCAACTTATTACTTACATCGAGAATAGATTCATCAGTAGGACAAGGCATTATGGGATAATTAGATAGACTTTTCCCATTACTCTGTAAGCAAGTTTCAATTTTAGCAAAAGCAATATTTTTAATCTCTTCATCAGCCACTACCAAATCTGCAGATAATCATGCATGAAAATATAAAAAAAATTAAAATGTAGATATGCAATTACGTATTTTTGATTTATTCAAAGAACAAAGGATCATAAATTTAGACATGTTATAGCAGTTCATCTTATTTCGTTGGCGATATAAGATATTATTAGATAGAAATTTTCAACAACTTTTCCATACAAATTCAGGTCTCCTCGTATTGTTTCAAAATAATAACAAAGCAAACATTCTTTAAGATAATATTGTGCATTTAATGTATACGTAATTATAGGAATATAATTAGTTGTAAGCATAATTAGCTAGTATGTTAATATTCTGCGTTGAATAGAATTAGTTGTAAGCATAATTAGCTATCATGATAATATTGTGCATTGAATAGAATTAGTTGTCAGCATAGTGTGATAATAGTTGTCATTTAAGATGAGCCGCCTATAGTATGTTATTCAAATTGGGCATTTTGAATCTCCATGCGCCAACACTAAAATTGCATATGACATATATTCCACCCTCTGCTAGTTGATCTCTTATTCTTAGGGAACCGTACAGTCCCCTGAATCTTACCACCCTGTTATTACAAAAAGAAGGACCCATAAGCAATGTTTAATAGTTATAGTAATTAAAAAAGACTAATTTGCACGACAGTAGTGCGTAACAAAACTCACGTGCTCATCTATTAAAATCATATCGACATTCTCTCCCATCTCGGGTCAATTGAAGTTGGGCTGTCTCCAGAGTCTGATAACCTTAACTTTGATCCTCCATTGCTCTTTAGATGGTGTCAGACCATGCATGCGATCAAATCTCATAGTCATTTCAACATATATCGAAACACAAAGTTTGGTTAGAGAACAAATGGATCTATCCTATTTAATAAATAAGAATGAGTCAGTCAAGTGTCAGAAATATCCTATTTAATAAGAATGAGTCAGCTATTAAGGTATATACTATTATTATTTTTATTAATTTATTATTATCATTATTATTAACAGGTTAAGTGTGAAAACAAAACTGATCCAAGGAATTTAAAGCAAATACGTGACATTTTTATCCTCTAATGACTTCTTCTAATAATAAAGATATAAATTGACACGAGCCTAATTTAGTTACATCTTTCATTGACAATATTATGCTGATTGTGTCAAAGTTTGGTTGAAATTCGATAACTATATGATTCAAATATATTTAAAAAAATTTGTTGATAGGTGGTCTAGTTTTAAAAATAGAAAATTTCCATTAATAAGTATTTGGTATAAGTTTTTTACTTGAAATACTCGGAAAGTGGGACGAGAATTTTTTTTCCATGTTTGATATAAGTAAAAGTGAAACTAATCACAAGATATTTTTTTTTCCATCATTTTATTTTTAACTATACATTTCCAAAAAATAATACCATCTTACCCATGATTTTTTTTTCCACCGACTGAGAAACGCGTAACACCATTTTGAGACAAAAATGCCCTGGTAAATTGAACGATTGATTACTGACAAGAGATTTAATATTCAAAATGATGGGTAATGTTGTCATTTCGATTTAAATTTTCATCAATGTTTTACAATCAACCAAATATAGTATCAGTAAAATTAACTCAATATTCTCGAAAAAAAATTAGCCTACCAAACATTTTTTTTCTAACTTAACCGAGAAAAAAATTTCCCATCATATTCTCATAAATATTTTTTTAGGTAAAAATAAATATCTCTTCTATCAGATATCTCCTAAATTTATTATACTTTTATTAAGATCGTTAGTTTATAATACTGCATGTGGAGGAAGAAGAATTTTCTCTACTTCAATTTTTTTTTTTTAATTTTAAAAAGATGATAATCAATTGCTTATATTATATCCATTTTTTTCCCTCACTTGTCATGATCCGGATTCACGAATACAAGTAGATACTTCATAAAAACATAACATACGCTAGAAGATTGCACCGTCACATGACATTTGACAGACACTATAGCCATTTACATTTTTTATTTGGATTTCTAGACGCTAGCCTTTTACTTTACTCCTAGGGAGCGTTTAGTTGAGGAGAAATTTTATGAATAATAGAGAAATGTTATGCATAGACAAATGGTTGGAGGATTATGTTAGGTAGGAAAATGTAAAAAAAATTGTTTGGTTGGAAAAAAATTTGATGGGAAAGTTAGGTAACTTTTATAAAGTCTATGTTTGGATGTAGATAAAATATAGATGGAAAAAAAGTGACAATTACAAAAATAACCCTATTCCCATTTCTTTTGTGCCTCCTCCTCCTTTGAGTTTCGAAGCCAACCCAGTATAGGACTGGTCAAATCAATAGCAGATGGATCCCTCAAATAAGTGTAGAATACATCTTCAATGAGAAAATAACCAGAAGGATTATGCTGCCCAGCTTTTTCCATCGCCTGGTCCATTGAGCAATAGATCTTGCCCCTCAAAGCAGTTAAGGTCTGCCCTCCAAGAACTAAAAACTCTTGGGTCTTAGCAGCCTTATCTTCTTCCTGATTCTGTTTGAGTCTCACAACACGCTCCACCTTTTCTATACAAAAACTTCCAAGTGCAGAATCATTTGTTCCTCTTCTCTTTCTCCTTTTTGAGTTCTTCTCGTGACACCCTCCTGCAGGAGGGTACGATCGTCATCTGAATCTTGCCCATTGTGATGATTTACATAGATAACATGCAATACCATATTGCAAATGGGAAAATTTCACCAGGTTTTTGGATTAGATACACATGCAACTTGTTAAGCTGGGGAAATGATTTGGGTAGGCATATCTTCAAAATGCTTCAACCAAACACGGGCACTGACTAATCCCACTTCTCAAATGTCTATGCATCTCGTTAGAATCTTTCAACCAAACGCCCCCTACAGTTTTTTCCAAACTTGTTTTTTAGTTCCATAATTTGTAACCCAATGTAACCACCAATGGTGGTATTAAGGACAATTATTGACCATGAGTTTGTATAACTAAATATAAAATAAGAGATTAATGTTTTTTATGATGTATAAAATAATTTTATTTTTTATACATATATAAAAGTATATGGGGTTGTATTATTTTTTATCTTTATTCTCCTTACATAGTTTCACATGAGTCCTATATACTTTAATGTGTATATAGGAGAAAAAATTATTTATTGCAAAATGAAAAATATTAATTCCATAGAATAAAGAAGTATATATTAACAACCAAATAGTGTTACTACCAATGTTACTACCAATCAATTTCACCGTTAGATCGATTATATTGATCCAACGGTTATATTTATTTTCATATTTGTATGGTTATATATGATTCTCCATATTTAATGTGAAAGGATTAAATATGAAAAATCATAATCATACAAATGTGAAAATAAATATAAAGTATTAAATATGGAGAATCATAACCATACAAAGATAGAAATAAATATAACTGTTGGATCAAAATAATCGATTTAACAGTGAAATTGATTGGTAGTAACATTAGTTGATTGTTACAATATCCTCTCCCTAGAATAAATATATAATTAACTGTCTAATTTCATAAAGAATAATAATTTTTTTATATAGTATTAGTGTCAATATTGTAGTCAATATATAATTAGTGTCAGAATCAATATTTTTTTTTAAGTATATACCCTCCTGGGTCCTCAACAAAAAGCATGGAACCCATTTTAATTTTTTAAAACAAAAATCGACTTATGATTCCTCTGAAATTTTATTTCTTTGAAATTGTGATCCCTCAAAAATTTAAAAAAACTCTCGTTAGTTTCTAAAAAAAAACTAATATAGATACTTTTTTTTCTAAACGATTAAATTAGATTTCGTATTTTTTGTTGAGTAACAAAAGGATATTTACTCTTTTTTTTTATACTCAGAATCGATATTTTAGTTATTTTAAAATAAATGATTTATAAGTGTTATAATTGGAGCAAGTATATTCTCAACGTCACTATTGTGCAAGGGTGCCACTGCCTCAGTGAAAAGATCACAGCTGTTAAAAAAAATCATTTTGAACCGTGGGATCAGTATAATTTTTTGAGTATCTTTTAATCTCAATAAATATCATTGAGCTCAATTTTAGAGAAAAAAATCGACTCGTGTTTCGTCTTAAATTTAAAATAGACTTATGTCTAATGTGAGTTTTATTTGAATTTCAAAGAAATCACGATTTTGATTAACTGTATCTATTTTGAATTTTATACAAATTACAAGGCAACTTTTTTTTATATAAGAGATTAAAATAAGCTCGGTAATCTTTTTTTGAGGACTCATAAAATACTTCACTCCAATTTTATTTTGGAAAGTATAAAAAAAACGAATGTATAAATACTTTCTTACAATTGTAAAAGGGAAAAATGTTTCTGCTTTTAAATGACACAATTTATATCCTTCACTCTCACAAAGAGGTGGAACCCACATCTTTATATTTTTTTGTCAACTCTCTCTTCTTTTATCTATCTCTTTCTCTCACCTAAAATGACATAACTTTACATCATTTAAAATAATACACACTTCTTCCATTGTAAAATTATTGCCCAGCAGTAGCACCAATCATTGAACGACCGAGGAAACCCAAAATCAGGGGCAGCGTTGTCATTCGACCTATCTTGAAATAGAAATGCCAATGAGTGAAACACTAGGGTCAGGAATTCACGTGCGAATCACATGCGGAGGAACAATGTACGGAACCAAGAAAGAAAGATCGGGCCCTTATTTGGGTTGTTGTGTAATCGATAGTTCCAATTATTGGGTGCCTCATGACAAGACTTTGTATATCAGCCAAAAGGCTTTCTTTTCTCAAAAAATAAAATGATACTATAAATAAATAGAGGGAAAATATTTATTTTTTTAAAGATAGTTATTTTAGTTAAAATTAATATTTTTTATTTAAAATTTAAATTAAAAAATGAGAAAAATATTTATTCTTTTAAATGACATAATTTTATGTCATTTTTAATAAAATAACATCGTTTTGATGCAAATTTTTTTTTTTTTTATATTTTCTCTCCTCTATAAGATTAGAAAGAGAGAGAAAGTGGAGGAAAGAAGATATAAAAAATCACTAATTCTGTGCCAATATGATATTGTTTCATCTAAAATGGCACAAAGATGTGTCATTTAAAATAACAAATATTTTTTCCTTAAAAAACCTCCCATTTTCTTCTAATGATTTTCATTATGCATATCTTTCTTTCACTTAAAAATTAAAATGATATAATTCTATATCTTTTAAAAAGATAAACACAAACCCCATAAATAGAAGTAAAATTTATCAATAAAAAGGAAGTTATAATTGAATAAACCGATCCTTTTAGATTCATTTTTATGACAAAATAAAGTGTCCTCTTTTTCTTTTCTTAATTTACTACCAAAAAAATACATGGTATTAAAAAAAATCATTTGCATATAAAGGAAAATGATTAATATTTTTCTTGCCATAGGAAATAAAATTATCTTTTATAATCTCAAAATAATGATATTTTGGAATTAAAAATTAAAAATCAAGAGTGTTTTAATAAAATTCATAATACAAGAGGAAAGTAAAATTTAAGATACCTTTTATTTTTAATATTAAATCTCAAAAAATGATTTGTAAGAGATAATTTTATTTTTTATAATAAGAGAAATATCTTTTTCAAAGAAAAAAGTCCAAACAACACCAACTTTTTTGGGTGTATTTCTTTATACTATTAAATTATTTTTCTTTTAGTAATTAAATGGTATTTATTTTACCAAGAACCCAGTTGGAACAAGGAAAATGAGAGGAAACACGAAAGTGAAATTAAAAGGGACCGAAATTCACGTGCGGTTCACATGGGGAACGAGCCTCGTACGGACAAAGAGGAGTAGCAAAGGATTTTGTGTTTATAATATACTTTATACTTGTGGGGTGGAAAAAGGTAGGATAGTGGGAAGAGGAGGTTTGATGAACGATGATGGGTGGGTTTGTCGGGTAGTGGGTGTTACATTAATGAGTGTTACGATTTATTAAGTTAGAGAAAGATCCATTATTGGGGTGTGTGGGAAGACCCAGCCCAATGCAAGGGAACACGTGGGACAGCTAGCACGCACTCGTGGGGACACTCTTAATCATAACCCGACATCTTGTCTGTCACTACCATAAACCATTCACTTAATATGGGAATCCCTTATTACTTATCAAATTGAACACCCCCACCTCCACCCTAATATAATAGTATAACTAAATATTATTAGCATAAATAATAAGGAGTTTAATGAAAACAATAATTTTGGAAGAGTCGTTGTCTTTGTAGGATCCCATAGTATTTAGATCAGATTCTGAATGATAAACGAGTTAAAGAAATTAAATATATAAATATATAAGGAAAAATATTTATCATTTAAAATGACATAAAATTATGTCATTTTAAAAGAGATACACACAAAATATTATTTTTTTATTTAACATTTAAATTAAAAAAATCACTCACTTTCTCTTCCATTATTTTCATTCTTTGTGTCTGTCTCTTTCCTAAAATAACATAACTTATATCATTTAAAATGACAAACATCAAATAATATATATGATATTATAAGGCCCTGAAAAATATCGTTCTTCCCTCCCTTTATTACATTAGGTCACAAGAGAATTTTCATTATCATTATAGTATAATATTAATTAATGACCACTCATTCGTACATTTAGACCCACTTGGTTGAAGGATTTAATAACCCTCCCGGAAATGTGTTTTTCATTTAATACACACCCTTTTCATGCACGTACTTTGTGATGGAGAAATAGGTTGTATTTAATCATTAGGCCATTGGGTGGGAAACCTTTCCGTTCCATATGGAGGAGGTTCTTGCTTGTAACTTGTAAGTTGTAAACTCCATTCTATTTGTGAACCAAACCAAATGGTCAAGTCGCAATTTGAGTAATTGTTGAAGTTAGGGATAGGGAGGGGAGGTGCTAACTATTTTAAATTGTAAAGGATTTTAGCTTCTTAAATTAGTTTTTTTTTTTAAATTTAAATTAGTTTTGTTACATGATAATATATTAAAAATAAAATTATTTTGTTTAGTTGTAGTGTTGGATGAGCGTGAGATCATGCATGCAAGATGGACTTCACTTGAGTGTGAGACGCTACTTCAAAATTCAAACCTGAAATTTCCATTTTCATCAAGAGAGAAAATATGATCTCCCACGTGCCATGGCCAGTGATATGATCTCAAGCGTCTGCACAGGTGGGTAGTGGATAGGAGTACGTGAAATACACGTGCTGTAAGAGAGGGTAGTGGTAATTATCGACGAGGCAAGGGTAGTTCAAATGATTGTGATGAGGAAAATGTCGGTGTGTGAAGCGACAGGATGACACCCACGATTTTGTTTACGATCTGTTACTTGTCCATTTCTTATTTCATTTTCTGAAATAATTAAAAATAAATAAATAGCACTAATTTATAAATAAAAACACTTAACCTAGATCCCTATAAATAATCTTATAAGCTACTTTCTTATTTTCTTAAAATAATAATTTTATTAAAAAAAACTTAAATTTTTATATTTCAATAGTTCACTCTATTACTCCACAAGAAATATTGATATTTATATTTTTGAGACATTACATGTATCTAATTTTTTTTTTACTAAGTATTAAAAAGGTTATTAAGAACGCCTTCTTTTAAGAAAGATATAATTTTACTTGTAAATTAAAAATTTAAGATCCAATAATGAATCCTTACAATAAATCATTAACATTAAATGATGGAAACTTTACATATTGAGTACACTTATTTATTTTTGTAAAATGTTAAAAAAATAAAAAATGAAGGATCCACGTGTGAAGAGATATTAGTATGTGTTGTAGCACGTGTCCTGCAGGGAGGCATGTTGGTCCATGTGAGTTGGGGGCAGGTGTTTTCTTCCACGCTTCCTTCATTTTCGCATCACGTGAACACCACTCGCACTTGTCCCCTTCTCACTCTCACCTCTCTTCAATTGCTTTGCTTTTTTAACTCCAAAAAAGGGAAAAATAATAAAAAATATTTGATTTTGCTACGCTCTTAAACGGCTGGCTACGCTCTTTTAAGTATATATCATTTGAAAAGTATAATCTTTAATATATTACAAATTTTAATTTTTTTTTTTGACAAGTAATGATATTTATTAGTAAATCACAGCCAATAATATAACCTGATCTCTTTTTGTCTTTCCCGTTCACATGCTATTGGCGGTTGAAACCCAAATCATGAGCCATCCCATGTATGGCTACCAGCTTCTTAGCCGTTTAGAATTATTTTTGGTTCATATTGCAATATGATTGCTCGGCGAGTGTTGATTTATTTAACCAAGACAACAATTATTGAAGTGCATTTGTTACCGTAACGCTCCGCACCTTGCGGCCGTGGGAACACGCGTGGTAAAGCGGAATCCTTCTTTTGTCCCACGCGCGAGTCTTTGCAGGACACGAGGAAGAAACAAACGAACTTGTTTTTTTTTTCTTTTCTTTTTTCACAGTTACAGGGCAAGATATAGGGGGAAAGAAAAGGTGGAGAAAGCGACGTTGTTGGCTGTGGGGAGGACCCTCGTGGCGATCGCATGGGTGAGGATTTGTGTGTCGCATGGGATAAGGGATAATTGGGACCCACCAAGGGACAATCCAAATGAAATGAAAAGGTTATCTGTTTGGTTCCAATCATGACCATTGGCTGTTCTGATTTTGATGGGTGTCGAGCGATGATCCTGATCATGGGTTGTTACTACGTGAAAATTGACCTCAGCCGTTGATTTAGGAAACTGATTCTCTACGATGCCAACTCTTCAGTTACGATCTGGCCCACTTGGTTAATTGCTCAAGATTTCTTGCGATTTGCCACAAGACACACTGTGCCACCTAAAGCTAGGTGCATTTATTTTAGGTTTTGTAGATACAAGAATTTAGGCATCTAAGCCAGCATCTTTTCCTTCAATTTTTTCCATCCTCCCTAGCACTAGCAGCATCTATAACCTTAAACTCGCTGTTAAATCATCATTGTCTTATGTACTCTCTCTCTTTTTCTTTTTTTTGGATAATCGTCTTGTGTACTTTCAATGAACACAGAAACAGTCAAACGAAAATCTAAAGACTCCGTATAATACTAATTAATATAAATACCAATAAGTCTCATCCTCCAAAAAATAAAATAATTTGTGACATGAACAATTATTGTGTCAAGTATATAGTAATCGTCTTTATCAAAATGCCTTATACAAGTCTTCATTTGTCCCAAAAAAATAAAAAAAAGTGCTCTCCATTTACCAAATGGTCAAAGGTAAAAGGGTGAGATATGAATGAAGAAGTAAATAAGGAGAGGACAGAGAAAGCAGGGTTGTATTATTTGGTGGGCAAATGCCATGATTGAGATAACTGGCCTTGCTGACATAAAGTCATCATTGAACTTACACACACACACCACTCCCATTCCCTTTCTCTCCTTTCTATATAATCTCCTTCCACATCCTCCTCTACACTGCAAATCAACCCTCCCCCTTCCAAATCTCTGTATCTTTCTCACCAAAACCTTCTCCAACTCAGTCTTTTAGTAAACACCAAGTACTTCAAAAACAAAAGGATCCTTTCTTACAAAGACCAGATATGATGCTTGAAAAGGAAGATTTGGGTTTGAGTCTAAGCCTCAACTTCCCTCAGAATACCCCAAATCCCGTGCATCTGAATCTCATGTCCTCTTCTCCTTCTCTTTGTAATCCTCATAAAACCTCTTGGAACGACGCTTTCACTTCCTCGGGTATGTATTGCTCGATCTTCAAGATGGTTTCTCCTCTGATTTTTATTCTGCATGGTTTTATTGATCCAGATCTGGACAAGTTTGCATCTTTATTTCCTTTTTCTCATTCACTTTTGATCTGGGTTGCTGGGTTCTTTTTTCAGGGAAAACAATTTAAAACCCTTTTCTCTTTTGTTCTTGCTTTTCACATTTTCTATATCTTTTGCACTGCCCTTTTAATATAACCGATCACTTATTTCTTAAACCCCAAAAAAATAAAAATAAAAACTAGTTATTTCATCAATTACTTGCTATGTTTTCTGAACCCTCAAAGTTAATGCTATTTTTGAACATGCAGATCGAAACTCCGAAACATGCAGAGGAGAAGCTAGATCTTTTCTCCGCGGAATCGACGTGAATAGGTTGCCATCTCCGGTTGACTGCGAAGAGGAAGCAGGCGTTTCGTCACCCAACAGCACCGTTTCGAGCGTGAGTGGAAAACGAAGCGAGAGAGAGATCAACGGCGCAGATCATGACGCGGACAGAGCCTGTTCCCAAGGTATCAGTGATGAAGAAGACGGTGAAACCTCAAGGAAAAAGCTTAGGCTTTCTAAAGATCAATCAGCTATTCTCGAAGAGAGCTTCAAAGAACACAATACCCTTAACCCCGTAAGTTTCTTAACCAGTTTTAATTAAGTCAAAGTTTAGTTTTTTTAGCTGACCAATGTGATTTAATGTTTCTGCAGAAACAAAAGTTGGCACTGGCAAAACAACTAGGCCTTCGACCAAGACAAGTAGAGGTCTGGTTCCAGAACAGAAGGGCTAGGTTAGTCACAACACAACATGTTTTATTTATTTATTTTGCAAAAATTATTTATTATTTGAAATGCATAATTATTGAAAAAGACTTAATGATTTGAAATTTCAGGACGAAGCTGAAGCAAACTGAAGTGGACTGTGAGGTGTTGAAAAGGTGCTGTGAGAATCTGACGGAGGAAAACAGGAGGTTGCAAAAGGAAGTTCAGGAGCTTAGAGCACTGAAACTTTCCCCTCAATTTTACATGCAAATGACGCCACCCACAACCCTCACTATGTGCCCATCTTGTGAGCGTGTGGCTGTTCCTTCCTCTGCTGCTGTTGATACTGCCACCCGTCATCATTCCATGGCCCAAGCCCATCCTCGGCCTATGTCCATTAGCCCATGGGCTTCTACAGCTCCCATCCCGCACCGGCCGTTTGATGCCTTCCGTCACTGATGTTGACGTTTGAGGGTGTTTTAGTACTTAGGGGTATCCCAAGAGAGAGAGAGAGAGAGAGAGAGAGAGAGAGAAAAAAACGGTTGTAAATTGTAATAGCGTGGATTGGAATTGTGTGTTCCAAAGTGCGGTTTAGGATATGGTGATCAGAAAACGTGATTTGGTGGGTCTACAAACTACAATGTTTTGTTCCAACAACATCATCTTTTGTTTTGTTCGATATGACCTATTTAATTAGGAGGGTTTTAGTTCTAGTTTCTAATACTTGACTCTTCCCCAAACAGACTTTGTGTAAAGTGCTTTGCTTCTAATTAATGGGTTTTGCATTATTATTTAGCATGATCATAATAATTTTTCTACACACACAACGTTTTGAGGGATTCGCAATTTTTGAAACCAAAAAAAAAAACTTTGGCATGCAAAAAGAATGTGTATAATATAATAGAATCATTTTTTTACAATATAACTTTTATAAAATTCATTAATCAAATGTATAAGTTTTGCCTTGTCAATTTGATTGAGATATTTATTTGCAATTTTTTTTTTTTTTTTTGATAACATATTTGCAATTTTTCAGGTAGAGGGTTTGATACTTCTTGATGAAATGGTTTTCTTTTTCTTTTTCCTTTTTTTTTATTCGTTACTCTAATTGTGGGTTTATGTGTGAGTGTTTCATATTTTGAAGTCAAATTTTAATTTGGATTGATGGTTATGTTTACAAAATAAAGTATTTGTGAGTGCTGAAAAGATCGTGTTTGATTTTGAAGATTTGGAATCACTGTTTTAAAACCCGACTCGGATCGGCTGGGATGACCCAGAATTCGATGACCTGGTGGGTTTTCCGGTCCGAGCAGGTAGTTGGACTGCTTCTGTAGTCAATCCGGATTGGACCGGTTGACCCGGCCGAAATCCGGTGACCCGGGTTAGATCGGTTATTCCATTTTTTTTTGTAAATTTTTTTTATTTTTTTATAAGAACTCTTGAATTAAATCATACTCATATTTTATGATGAATATGATTAAAAGTAAGGTGAAAATAATAAGGTGTTTTAGATTAGTGCAGTTCGTTTATGTAATTTAGTTGCATCTTATAATGATCTCATGAAGTTAAGTGGTGATAAACAGTGATGGTCTCATGATCTCATCTCAACGGCGGACACTTTTTTCTTAATGTATATTTCATGCATACTATTTGTTATCATGATAACGGTGACACTTTTTTCTTAATGTATATTTCATGCATACTTTTTGTTATCGTGATTTAATTTATCCGTATCATGTCAAGCACAAAAAGTGCATTTAACTTATATTGCAATTTTAAATCAATATTAGGATATGGTCTAGAGCTAGAAGATTAAAAGTATATAATATTTGCTATCACTGAAAATCAATTTATTTTTTGAAGCTCATTGATAGTTTTCTTATGAGAATTTTTATTAATATAAGTAATGTTTTTATATTTTTAATATGTGAACAGCAAATCCGGTTCAACCCAGTTGAATCAATGACTCAGTACCTCGACTCGACTGATTCGATCACCACCGGTCCGAATTTTAAAACCCTGTTTGGAATAACCACTGTGGGCGCGTCTCGTCCGCGATAATGAGTTGTAAATATCTAAATGACCCAACTGTTTTATTTAAAATTGTTGTGTCATTATCGGCCCAAATTATGATGGTTTCTTGTTGCGTATCACACTCCTTGTTTTCCAAGGATTATGTGAGCATTGACCGACTCCCGGGGATGGACAATAATTATGTCACTGTGATATGATATGATTTATAATGGAATGATGTAAAATTGTCATATAATATCATGTATTACATAATACCTATTTTTTATTGGATAACAAAAATAGGTATTTATTGAATTATTATTGATGCAGCTATAAATGTGGAATGATATGTATGGTGCTACATGAAATAACATTTTTTTTTTGGTAAACTATAAAATAACATTTTACCTATAGAAAATTTATACCCTTCTTTGCACGATTATATTTAATTTTAGATGTGTACGGGCATAAATTCTATAATTTTAAACATAAATTTACATGCGACCTAATAGTTTTTTTTGTAGTCTTTTTATTCTCTTTGTAAATTTTGTTCATATAGCATTATCTAAATAAATATCAAATTATGATGACTACTGGTATTTCATGGAGGGATGTTGTTTCTGCTAATATACGTTAGATATTATAAATAGGGGAGAAATTAACTTATCACCAGTTAAGTTTATCATTTCTTACCATCAAATTTTAATTATTGATTTTTATCAAATTTACGAAAATTAACAATTAAGATTTGATGGTAAGAAATTATAAACTTAATTAGTAGTAAAATGCCTCTTGTAAATAAGAGGTATTAGTTTTTCTTCTTACAAGAGAAACTTCCCCCTCTCCTACAGAGACAACAACATATGTGGCCCATCAAGAAAAAAAAAAAACACATGGCGTAACTCTTGATGGGTGTGTAGAAGGATAGGTTTTTCTTTAGCAACAGGAGAAAAATATATCCGTATAAATAATATCTCAGATGAGACAAACCCACATCTATTATGACCGGTGTTATATAACCCTCATTTATCATGGGTAGGGGAGTTTTGATCTAAATAGATTATGTTTATGCAAATTACTTTGAGTCTGACCTAACCTATCAGAAGTGATGTAGCTAATTTTTAGCCTCGACTTAACCTATTTTTAAAAATTAAAGAACTTAACTTAGACTTATTAGCCTATTTATGTCTACTAGGCCTTTAATACATAAAGAATTAAAATAAATAAATAATATAATATTATTTTATTAATTAAAATTAATTAATTAATTAATATAATATAGGTAAAGCCTGGTTAAAATATAATTATAGCCTATTCTTAACAAACCTTTTCTAAGGTCTAAACTTGTTTTATTTTATTGAATATAATAAGTCAGTTACACTGGGTATATACACATTACATGGTAATTTCCTCCTAGTGTATGTATATATCACATTCTTCACTACATATACCTTGGCTATCAACCTGTAACCCTCATTGACTCCTAAGTTAGAATCTAGCATCAAGGATATAATAAAACTATTCGTGTAGTTTTAATGGCTTAAACTTTTGTGAGAATTGGTTGTATGACATAATATCAGAGCTTATTACCAATTAATTTAGAATTTGATTATGACCGCACTCATTCATCAAAAAAAAATGTTGAATATAAGCACAAGGTAACAAAAAGTATTATATAAGAAATGAGCTTGCCCATTATTCAAAATTTAGAAGGGAAAAAATAAATCTCACATGAGAAAGCATATTAAGAAATATAATAAAATCATTCACGTGGCTTCTCCTAATAATTTATACTTTTGGATGAGTTGATTGTCTAACATCTGCAACATATATAATTATCAATACTATAATTATCAATACTATTTATTAAACATTCAATGGATATTCAAATTATATAGCTCGACACTCGCAGCTAGCTAACTACGAGTCGGGGGCTGATTCTTGTAGATCCTAACTAGGCCCAAGCCCAATAACAGACACATCTCTCACCTCTAACCTTCCCTATATCAACATTTTCGGTCCCTTAAATGCATCACATCCTTAATCCTAATAATTGGTACCCATGCCAATGGAACTACAAACTAATTTTGCAAAACCTTTCTATTTTTTTTTTTTTTTTAAATTGTTTCAAGAGTATCTCCAACCAAAAGCCAAGAACTAATCCCCTGAGACGAAGAGATCACGCGATCGTAAATGCAGCCTCTCCTAACCAAGCATTTTCTATACATAACTGCTTGATCCAAGATATATGTAGCAAAGTGCAGGTAAAATCAGTAAATAACGTATAAGTGCAAAGTACAAAGTACAAGCCTTTTGCACACATAAGTTCTAGCAAAGTGCAGGTAAAATCAGTAAATGCGTCCATTATACAATGATTATAAATTTTAATTTATGGACAGAAATTAATAGGACACGAACCCAATTACAACCTTGAAACCGTGGAAATAAAACATCCACTTCAATTACATCCCATCATTTAAATAACGTAATACAGAAGGATCTTCAAGATTACCTTGAAGAGTTTCTTGTAATCCGTGTACTCCTCTTGATAGACTCAATTCTCTGAAGCCTTATTTGCTCTCTAAATTTGGCGATGAATTCATCAGCCTTCTTATCAACATCTGGTCCTTCATCTGTTTTCAAACTTTCTACAATAGGTGAACTTTCCTTATTGTCATTCTCACTGATTCTTCCTCCTCCAACATCTTCATCCTCTGTTTCTGTATCTTCATCATCAGATTCTACAATCACCTTGTCAAAAAAGCTTTCTTTCTCTTTATCTACAAATTCCATTGAAGCTGGAAGCACACTTGCATGCCCCATGAAATTTTCTTCATTTTCTTCTTCATCAGCATAGCCTCTTGGCTTCACTTCTATTCCTGATTCAATTTTTCCCATCATCACCTTATCCCCACTATCCCATTTCATGCTATTTCTCTCACTTGTGAAGCTTCGCTTCAACTCCTTAACAAATGAAGTTTGTTCATTGAATGAACCATACCTTGGATTCATGGACATTGATTTCTGAAACAGAACTGGTGGGGGTGGTGGAGGTGGAGGAGGACAAGACTTGTAAGAGCACTTCTTCCTAATCAAATCCTCTGTGTTCTTAACAAGTGATTCTGATGAAAACGCAGGTGAAGGAGATATGGAACGTGAAGTTTGAGACTTCAAGGCACGAGATTCCTCCATTGAAGGCTTTGAAGGTTGTTGTGAAAGGGTGTCAACTTCTTGTTTAGGTTCCATCCTTCCTGACCTCGATCGCCATGGAATTGGTGAATGAAGCACAACGTTCTCCTCAACTCTTGGACTATCAGAACCTTCAAGTTCTTCATTTCTAGCTCTATTCAAATTGCTTGAGAAACGAGACTTCAAACTTCGAACTGGTAAAAGCAAAGGCTTTTCATTTTCACCATGGTCATCAAAATCAGAGTTCTGTGGCTCTGGAGCTACAACAACTACGGGCTCATTCCTGTGGTGTTGATTACTCCATGTTTGAACTTTGGGTTCGTCAAACGCAGTAGGGTTTTCAGCTTCATCCTCGAAAAATGATGACACTTGTAGGAACCTAGAAACAAGTGATTGTGCATTATCGAACTTTGAGCTATTCTCTTTCTCTGTTTCATCGTTTCTACGACTAAACAGCCCGTAAGAGATAGCAATACCAACGAAAATAAGGTGGAGTAGTTCCCAGTTTCTTGTGAATATAGATTGGTGGATGAATTCAGGAGCTTTTGAAGGAAACAGAGGAAGAATAACAAAGAAGAAGACAACTATGGCAGCTTTGTAGAGAAAACGGTTATAGAATTTACTTGGGTGTTCTTGGTTCTTCTGTTCAACAGTTATTTTTTGGTTTTTGGTGCTGTGGATTGCACCCTCCATTGAAGAACAGAAAGAAACGAGACGAGATAGAGAATATTTGAGAAAGATGGTGAAGAAGGAAGGGAAAGAGACTTATAAATTGAGGTTAAGGAAAAGCACAAGGAGGAAAGAAGGTCATGGGAAGAAAAGTTGTGAGAAAATCTGAAGCTTTTGCCTTAGTTTGCTTCACACCATGAAGACAAAATGTCAAGCATTGCCATGCCTTTATTCCATTTGCCAATGTTACCTTTTCTCTCTCCTTAGTGCTTGCTTTCGGTCATAAGATGCTTTACCTGTGTGCTATTCTATTACAATCCAGTGATACACAGCTTGCTCGTTATAAAATAAGTTATACCTAAGAGAGTAACATGAAAGTCCCAGAACATGTTCTGACTTTGAAAATTATAGGATTGGTTTCTATGTTAAAAACTAGAAAGAGAACATTACATTATCCATCTTCGAGCTTGTAAAACGTTGACAGGATATGATGGGTTGAATTATTAAATTCTCTAGAGTCTAGAAATAAATTGTGGATTAAAATTGTGGAGCATATAGTGATGGTCCATATGACTAGAATCGTACTGGTTATATCTAGTAATAGCCACAAAAACTCATATTGATGACCAGCTTGAGTCTAACAATATTAAATAGAGAAAAGTGACTACTTTGGAATAGAAAAAATGCAAGGTGTAAATGGTTAGCGTTCGATGTAGTCATCATGATTCCCCTTTTGGAAGGCAAATTCGAGCTTGTGTTTGCAGCTGTGGAGGGAATGCTTTTCTTAGCAACAACATTTTTCTAATAATTCAAATCCTATTTTTGGCTGCTGTTAGATTCTCTTAAAGGTTACGCAGTGACCCAATATGGATGCAAAAGAGTATTACAAAAATATTTGTTTGAATTGGAAAAAGGAGATGGAATAAGCTGATCTCAGTTAGTGATTTGTCTAATCATGCACACATTGGAAGTCAGGAATTCTCTTAACGCGGGTATGTGATGAGTAAGAAAGTTCTAGGCCTTCTATGTCCATTGTACTTGTCAATGTTAGCTGATTCAGAAATGGTCACTTATTCTATCGCTACACCTAGAATTGTCCCACACTTTCTCATTGCTGACACAACTTGTCATTGCCTTTTAAATATTTCGAGTAATCTCCTTTTTTGTGAAAGAGAGCTGATCAGATTGAATATTGCAGATCATATTTAATACAAGGAAAATAATAATCTCATCTTGTATAAGAAAGTTATCTTGTGCCATATATTTATAGAATTGTGCCAATTTTTCTTTTTATATTGTAGATCCTACATATTTATATCATATCATATGAGAGTATTATATCATGTAATATGAATTAGTAAATCCCTTATTATAATTATCATTTTCTCTCTCTAAATAGTACTAAAATAGACTGAGTCAAGTACCAATTTTAAGACATCTTGACCTGGAATCTTTGTAGTTTACGACTTTAACGTTTTTAGAATATAGATAAGTTATTTATATGACTTTAATGTTTTTACAGTGAAAAATATCAAAACGACGTTGTTTTAGGTTGAAAAATTTAAAAATTATAATAAAAAAGACTATTATAACCCTGAAACAAATTATAATTATAAAAATACCTTGATTTCTACCTCAAAATGACATCATTTTGGGCTCAATGTAGATAAGTTATTTACATTGACTGTAGAAAAACCAAACCCTATTTATATTCATTCTCAAAATGATATTATTTTGGGTTAAAAGATTAAAAAATTATAATGAGAAAGATTATTACAATCCTAAAATAAATTATAATTACAAAAATATCTTAATTTTCGTCTCAAAACGATATCATTTTGGGCTCAATGTAAATTTATCTACAATGATCGCAAAAAAAATGAACCCAAGTAGCAATGTTGTGAAAACCGGACAGCCAGCCGGGTCGCCCCGGAACCCGGTGAACCAGTTATCTGACCGGTCCGGTTATCACATTGGATTGGTTAAGTACCAGACCCGGTGCGACATTGCTGGTTTTGGTGAAAATCGATGATCCGGCTCAGGTTTTTTTTAAAAAAATATTTCTAAAAAAATAAATAAATCATAATTAACATATTTTAGTGATCTGCTACTTATTGACTTACATAAGTTATGTACCTACAATACTAATATTATCTTAGTTATGCACTATACAAGAAATTTTGATTTGATTTATAGTTAGAGATATCGTTTACAGAACCTTAAACACCAATATCACAAGCATTATATGTTTGTTTGCTCTTTTATTGAACAATAATGTATAATTTATTATTTTTATATTAAAATATTTAGAATTTATATTATTTTTTTAGCTATTTGAGTATGTTTATAATTTTTTTAATATAAATTATAGATTTACATATAATCACCAGGTCATGCGGTTGAACTAGTGACCCGGTATCTCGACCGGGCCAGTCTTAATAACATTGCCATGTAGTTTATCATATGGGATAAATTTTTCTTATGTTGTAGGAAAAAAGTTATCTTATGTTGTAGAAATAAAAGTATAAGTGGGACCCACAGGTAAGAAGAGAGAAAAAAAGAGAGGTGAGACCCTACCCATTTTTGTGTGTGTAGGAAAGTTCTTTATCTCATGTAAAATGAGATAAATATAACCCTTATTATATATATATATATATATATATATATATATAGTTGCATTTGTCATTTAAAATGACACAACAAATTTTCCTACACACACAACATTTTGTGGAGCTCACACTTTTTGAAAAAAAAGAAAAAAAAATTATGGCACGCAAAACGAATCTCTATAACATTACACAATCACTTTTTCTACAATATAACTCTTATAAAACCTATATATATATATATATATATAAGAAAAATATTTGTCATTTTTAATGAAACTACGTTGTTTTGATGTGTTTTGTCATATTTTTATAAAATTAAGAAGAAGAAAAGTGGAGGAGAGAGAACGTAAAAACACATCAAAACGACGTAGTTTTATTAAAAATGACATAATTTTGTGTCACTTAAAATGACAAATCACTTGTTATCAAAAAAAAAAAAAATGACAAATCACTTTTTCATATATATATATATATATGGGAATGATCCGTTTACAATTTTTTGTAAATTACACTATGTACTCCCAGGAGAACATAGTGGTGTTTGTAAATATAACTCTCCCCATATATATATGAGAAATATTTTTCTTATATTGCATGAAACAATTTATTTCCTGAAACACAAAAAAAGTGGATAGAATTATCCACTTTTTTTTTCTCTTTTCCTGAATGGGTTCTATCCACATTTTTATGTGTTGCATACTTGCTTGATATAATTTTTGTCAGGTAACATGATAAAAATATTTCCATATATATAAATATATATGTATATATATACGAGAAAAAGTATCTAATATTATCTTAGATAACTTTATCTAATGTTCATCAAAACAACATCATTTTGGGTTGAAAAATTAAAAAATTAAAATGATAAAGACTACTATAACCCTGAAATAAATTAAAATTACAAAAAACCATGATTTCCGCCCCAAACGACGTTGTTTCGATGAACATTAGATAAAGTTATCTAAAGTAATTTTAGAAAAAAACAAACCCTATATATATAGAAATATTTTTCTTATGTTGACGTAGATAAGTTATCTTATGTTAGTGAAACAAAATAATAAGAAAAACTCACAAATGATTAGAGAGAGAAAATAAAGGTGAAACTCACTTTTATTATGTGTGTAGGAAGATTGATTATCTCATGTGGAATAAGATAAATATAACTCATATATATAATGAACTACCTTGTTGGAGTTAGTGTTGCTAAATTATGAGAGATAATTGATGAAGTATCGTTAGAAAAAAACAAGACTAAAAATTTCAATAAATTGAGAATTACGCAGTAGATTAAACGAGCTTCCATCTGTTTACCAAATAAAAATAAAAATGAGCTTCCCTCGTTTTGTTCCTTTCTTTTTTACTTGTTTTCTATAGCAGGGGAAGGTGAAGAGACATTTGGAATACTTGGGGGTAATGAATCTGATTCCTACCCATCTGCGTTTGAATATTTATAATTCTGCGAATATATCAGGGCTTGAGTTAGGACGCTCTTTACCGCAAAGTGAAGAAAACTTACTAAAGAATATTAAATGAAACATATATCAAATAATTTTAATAGAAGAAAAGAAAAACATACATAATTTTCTTAATTTATTTATATTTAATGATCAGAACTTTTACAATTTTAGCTTACTCTTTGATTATTTCTCCATGCATCCCTCTGTTGCAACTTCGCCAAGTGCACCGGTCGTACAAATAATAAAGTGTTAAATTAAAGTTATTAATCCCACGAGAACTGATGACCAATCACTAATTTATCTATTCAATTAAAGTTGGATCGATCGTAAAAGGTTTTCTTGAGAATATTTTAATTTAATTAAAACAGAATTTTTAAACTACTTATCTTTAGTTTTCAATATTTGAGGAATTAAATTCAGAATTAATAATGCTAAACAAATTGGTTTTAAGTTTTTATAAAAGACATAGCTAGGACTCGACTTCCCCAATATTTTCCTAACGAGTCTACCTATTCTTATAATTACATTCAAGATCCATTTATTAACCGTTCTTTCTATATTTGATTAGATTCTAATTCCTTAGGAATCTTGACCTTTACTTCGCTCAAAAGCCTAATTCTTTAGTACTTTTTCATAAAGTAAGCATTAATGCAAGAACATACACTTATAAAATTCATAAGTCTATCCTTAGATCATACAAACTCTAGCAATCAACCAATTAGAATCAATACACCAACATCCCTATTGTCATGCACGACTCATATGTTTATATATGAGTGATCAATTCATAAATAAAGCTAATCATAAAGAACAGATTTATTTCATAACTTTAAATCAAGAATATAAATCATAAGAAAGACAAACAACGTTTAAGAATCCATTGGTTCCGTCTGGCGCTAACTACTTAAGGAAATTTAGCTTTGCATAGTCATAATAACATAATTAAAATATACTGTAAAATAAATAGAGTTCATGATGAAACTTGGTTAACGATGTTGATCAATGATGAAACTTTGATCTCCTTTCTTTGCTTCTGCAACGCTCCAGTTTTTCTCCTTTGCTTCTGCCTTCGTCTTCGTCTTTGAGTTCTCCTTTTTCTCCAGTCTTAAGAATGAATTTTACAACTTTACTCACGTTCTATTTAAAGAGTTTAAATTGGATCTTTA